ACTTAGGGAAAATTAGTTTGAGCATGCAGTCAGTTAAATATAAGTTTTTCTTTGTGTCACAATTACTGTTATCCAACCTAAGAATTTGAATGTTCAGTGTTGTTATTTATTTATGAATTATATTGACTATATAGCTACCCATTTCACAATTGTGCCTCTGAGAGTGAAAAGATTTCCAACCAAGCAACAAAAGAACAAGCAATAATAAAGCAACCATAATTCAATAATGTTAAATTAATTATGGGGAATATGTTCAAATCAAAGTTATTTTTGTTAGTGTCTCTATTTGCCATGTTTCTTTAGTCTTCTATGAATGTTTATGTAGACTTTGGCCTTGCTTTCTAATTTGCATAGGAAAATCATAGATGAAAAGGAATATTGAGAATGCTTTGGGATCATGAACTTGAACTGACATCTGTAACAGATAACAGATAACAGATAATCAGAGTTGGAAGGGACCTTGTGGGTCATCTAGTCTAAACCCCCACCCATGCGGGAGACTCTGCACCATTTCTGACAAATGGCAGTCCAATCTCTTCTTGAAAGTCTCAAGTTCTGGTTCTTGCCAGATTACATTAAAAAGATCTGATACATTTTATACTCTTAATATGCTAGTCCTATGTTTACGAATAGGGTTACCAGATATCTGAACAGGTAAACAAAGACACACTATCTTAACATTTTAAAAAATGCATTTAGGCCAAAATGTATATGAAATTATCCTTGTCTAGCATTAGAAAGACTGTTTTTTCAGTCACAATATTTTTCTAGCAAATCTTTATTTTCAAGAACTACTGTGTTACTGATAATATGGAACTGATGATGACACAGTTTCCAAATTTCACAATAGAAATGTATGTGTTATGTGATCATCTATCAGCTACAGTGATTTGAAGCAGCTAGATTAAAGCCAATTGGTGAGGGAAAGAAAGAAGCAGGCAGTTGATAAGGTCACAATACATAATACTTGAGTTACGACCACAATTGAGCCCAAAGTTTCTGTTGTTAAGGAAGATAATTGTTAAGTAAGTTTTGTCCCATTTAATGACTTTTCTTGCCAACGTTGTTAAATGAATCACTGCAGGTGATAACTTAATAACCTGGTTATTAAATTAATCTGGCTTCCCCATTGACTTTGCTTGTCAGAAGGTCACAAAAAGTGATCACATGGCCCTGGGACACAGCAAAGCTCATAAATATGAACTAGTTGCCAAACATCTGAATTTTGAACACATGGTCATGGGGATGCTGCAAAGGGCGTAACTATGAAAAATGGTCATAAGTCACATTTTTAGAGTCGTTGTAACTTTGAATGATCACAAAACAAGCTGTTGTAAGTCAAGGACTACCTGTACATAAACATTTGAATGATTACCTCAAGCATTTGGCAGGGCGGCATATGATCCCAGTGTCTTAGTTTCTGCACTCATTTCTTACAGGAAAGGAAACTGACATTGCAGGACAGTTGATATTGCATGTTATCTTTGGAGAAAACTAGTGGTTTTTACAGAGTTGAGGTTATATATTGGGAGGAAGAGAGTAACCTTGACTGAAGCACCAGAAAGTCATCTATCACCACACTATGTAAACTGCTAGAGACAATGATAGAATTACCAACTCTTCTAAATATAGACTATTTATCTATCTTGGTGACAGATTTAATACATGTGTGTACATAAAACTCTCAAGTGCCACCTCCCTCATCAGAATTTTGGAAGGTGAACTTTGCCTTATTACTGTGCTATGCTGATTTCAAACACAGTTTCAAAGAACTGTGTTGGATCTTGCTCAAGCATAGCACCTCTCTGCTGTTCATTAAGACAGCTACATCTCCCCCCCCCCCAGCTTCTTCATGTGCCCATTTTTTTTAAAAAAAAGCTGCTTTAATGAATCCCTTAAAGCAACACAATAATTTTTCAGAAGTCTGAAAAAGGGCATGGCTGACTTAATCAATAGCATAGAAATGCTGAGTTCACATGAGATCTGAAGCATCTTTCTGAATCATGATTGAAAGATGCCCAGCCTTAACACGGGCAATCTGAGACCACAGGAGCCATGTACAACCTCTTCAAACCTTCTCACAGCTTTTGTTGCCAACCCATAATTTTTAATGTAATCAAAGGGAAAATGAAATGCACAGAATGTGGTAATGATATTGTGTTTAATTGAATTAAGTTCTTAAATTTAGGTGTTCCTCCCCAAGGTTGACTCAGCTTTCCATCCTTTCAAGATCAGTAAAATGAGGACTGATTCTTAGGGGCACTCTGCAAACTACTTACAGAGTGAGTGCTGTAAAGCACTATGAAGCAGTATATAAGTGCTATTGATATCGCTACTTTTAAGAGACTATTCATTGCTGCTGTTTTCTATCTTGGGACCTCATTTATACATGCAAAATAAGTATCTTTTTAAATAGCAGTATTTTGAAGGGGCAACGAAAGGTATAACAGACAAAAATCTACTTGTGTTTCCAAAACATTTTTTGGATCAGGATGTGACTTACTAAATGTACTTTTGTCATTTTGACTTTGACTGAGTTGATTAGTCAATGGAACAATCAAGACACTCAGTTTTGGTATAGTATTTGTAATACAATCAGCATTTGACTAGAGTAACAAACACATGTTTGCACGGTATAAATTTAATATGTATCTGTGGAAATTAATTCCCATATTGAATGTTTGTTTCCTTGTTTGATTGAACCACAATCTTCTGCTTGCATATTACAAATTTCTAAATGGCTGGTTAGGCATATATTGTCAACTGTAATTCATTTGGTACTCTCTTGCCATGTTCATTAAATAATGTTCCCCAAGGTATAAAAGGGCCATGCTGAAGATTCTCACTTTGCTGAATTGAAGTATTGCTTTGATTCATAATGATTGTAGAAAATAAAATAGATATCCTCTTGAATAAATACCTCTTGCTTAAGCTTCGGTAGTTATGATTAAAGATCACAGAAAAAGCATGGAGGATGGAATGAAGTTGAAGGATTTTTTTTTATCATTGCAGAGGCTGAATTATTTTTGCAACTGAAATGAAATGAATAAGGATTGTTCAATTTCATCTATTCAGTGAAGAGCTTATCTGTCCTGATCTCCCTTGAAAGGAACTTCACCACAGTATATCATATCACCCTAAGTTCTTAATAATAATGTTTGTGAGTGGAAGAAAAATATGGCCTTTTGCTTGAGCTAAAAAAAGACATCTCCTCTCGCTTCTGCAAATAGTCAGAATTGCAATTGCTTTGGAGAAAAATCTGATAACAGTTTGGACTCTGCAGACATAAGAACTCTTTTCTATTTCAGTCCCCTCTTTTCTAGCTTGCACTTAATTCTCAAATCCTGCAGAAAGATTACAGATCTAACTGTATTTTTCTCTGTGACAGTAATATAGAGTCGGTTCACATAGATTTTAAAGGTGGAGAAAATGTTAATCCCTGAGAAAATAAGACATATGGGACGAGTTTTAAAATACTAAATATTATTGAATAAAAATCATTGAACAGCTTAACAGGTTAATTAAATGCATTGTTCTTTCATGACTTGGCTAACACCGTCGGCTGTGATTCAGATATGCTGAAAATAAGGGACTAAATTAAAATTGGCAGGAAAAGATATATACATGTCATGAGAAGAACTATTGAACAAAAATGTATAGGTAGCCAAATACAACTACATGTAAATATATCTGGAAAATGGTTTATAAGTAAATGTATCTGATCATCATTAATCATTTAAAGGTAAAAATAAAGGTTTCCCCATCCAGTTCTGTCAAACTCTAGAGGGTGGTGCTCATCTCCATTTCTTAGCTGAGGGAGCCAGCATTGTCAAAAGATATTTCCATGGTCATGTGGCTAGCATGACTATAAGCTGCACACAGAATGTTGTTACCTTCCCTAATGAAGTAGTACCTATTTATCTACTTGAGTTTACATGCTTTTGAACTGCTAAGTGGGCAGCAGTACTTGGCTCTTGAACCTGGGCTATCAGCTTTCCAGCTGACAAGCTCAATGTCTTTAATCCCTGAGCCACTGCACCCTCTAATCATCATCTGATCTCTAGTTTTCAATAATTCCCATCTGCTGCTATGGATGCTGCTTTTGGCCACAACTCAAAAGTCCTTCAGAGCTACAAAGGAATAGATGAGATGGAAAAGGCCCAGTTTCTTCTGTTAATGGACCAAAGATTGAAATAAAAGACAGGGTTCTCTAACAGTGTTATTCACAAGGCTATTAAGTTTCACATTTGTGTCAAAACAGTAAGTAGGACTCTTATGTTATAATCATTCTGTTCAAAGGCAGAATTGTTTACCGTTTAGAAATGCTTTCCAATCTTCTTCCATTTTAATTTAGAAACTTTCTTATCCTAAAAGCTAAGAAATCTGTGATCCTTCACCAACACTCAAAGTGGACTGAACTGTGACATAATTCAGTTTGATTAGAGGACTGGTTTTGGGTGAATTCAAAATTATCTCTCTTACCTTAACCTAATGTCTGATATCTATGAAAATATGTTTTGTAGTATTACATTAACAGTAGCACATTAACAAACTACAAATAATTCTCAACTTATAGCCATTCATTTAGTGACTGTTGAAGTTACAGCAGCACTGAAAAAAGTGACTAATGACCATTTTTCACTCTTACAACTGTTGCAGCATCTCCATGGTCACATGATCAAAATTCAGACACCGACTCATGACATTTGGAATAGATTATGGGATTACGTGATCGATCACCTTTTGTGACTTTCAAACAAGCAGAGCCCATAGGGAAGCCAGATTCACTTAACAATGTGTTACTAACTTAATGACTGCAGTGATTCACTTAACATCTGTGGCAAGAAATGGGACAAAACTTACTTAACAATTACCTTCCTTAGCGATAGAAATTTGAGACTCAATTATTATCTGTAATGTCTTTAACTTAAGTTTGTGTCACAGAGATAGTAGTAAAATAGCTTCAGCTGAGGAAAATTGCTACTTTTTTATTATTTCAGGTTGATACCCACATCCATGCTGCTGCTTGCATGAATCAGAAACATCTACTGAGGTTCATTAAGCACACTTATCAAACGGAACCCAACAGGATAGTTGGGGAAAGAAAAGACAAGAAGCTGACTTTGAAGCAGGTGTTTGAAAGCCTACACATGGATCCCTATGACCTCACTGTAGACTCACTAGATGTCCATGCAGTAAGTTCATTTTAAATAAAGATCACATCAGAATAATTATCAAGGTTTCCTAAATTGCCCAGCCATGGAAAGAGAAAGAAACTTTTGGTTGACAAACTCATGTTTTTTTATAGTCTGAACTCAAATTACCTTTTTGTATATTCATATTTTGTATTTTTAAAAAAAACATTATGAATATGTGAGTTACTGAAAGTAATATCCATCAGTCAATAATATCAGTCTAAAAATATAACAAATATACATTTTAACCCCTGCTTTTCTTAGGATCGTCAGACATTTCACCGGTTTGATAAATTTAACTCCAAATACAATCCTGTAGGTGCAAGTGAGTTGAGGGACTTGTACTTGAAAACAGAAAACTATCTTGGTGGTGAATATTTTGCTCGGATGGTGAAGGTAAGCATCTTTTCAACCAATCATGCCTTAGCTTGAGTGTCTTTCAAGTTAATGTTGATTCCTGGTGACTGCCTAGCCCTAGACCAGGTGTGTCAAATTTGATATCATTGAGGGCCCCATCAGGGCTGTGTTTGACCTTGTGTGGGCCAGGGTGGGTGTGGCCAACTCAACATCTCTTATGTCGAGCACACCTATAGTGGCCCGAGTGTTCTGCCAGCGAAAACGGGCTCCCGAGCTCTGTTTTTGACTGCGACGGCTTCCTCCAACCCTGTGCCAGTGAAAATGAGCTCCATTTTCGCCAGCAGAGGCACCATGGGCTTGTCCTTCACTGTTTCCAGGGCAGCCCCTGGCCAGGTCTAAGCACCTTGCGGGCTGGATCTGGCCCTTGGGCCTTGACTTTGACACCCCTGCCCTAGATACATCCCTGAACTCTTCTTGGCAAGTTTTTCGGAAGTGACTTTCCATTGCCTTCTTCCTAGGGCTGAGAGAGCGTGAGCATTATATATTTATTTGTTCTGGTCCAAAGCCATCCAGTAAATCTAATTAGAATGTGAGTTCTTTTTGTAGAATAAAATCAGGAGATGTTACACCTGCTCTGAAAGATTTTAGTCCATGAAGTTACAATGGACAAAAAGCTCTGTAGGAACATGTCATCATGTAACCATTTTAAATAGGTTACTAACAACCAAAGATATATACAATGAAACAAGAATTCAATTTATGTAGATATTTGTTTTTCTGAAGGCCCTTGTATTCCTTTTTGCTCAATCTAATGCCTTTGTTAGATTTTCTTAACATACTGAGTTTCCTGAGTCTTTCCCAACTTTTCAGTATTGAATTGATTTGCCTGTGTAAAACCTCTAATGTGGGAGCTGCCAGTCAATTTCTGGATGAAATTCAAGTCTCAGATGTCACTTTTAAATCTTTCATAGTTCAAGGTTTTGTGGATATGTCTGAGATTGTCCACCCTGGGTTGAATTTCTCCAGGAAAGGAGACTCACTTACCCCTGAGAGGATGCCATCTTCAGGGACCCCATTGATAAGCTTTTCCTATGATGGCTGTCCTACTCTGGAGTAGCTAGCCCTTGATATTTAAACCACTCCTTCCTGATAATATTTTCAAAGAGCTGTAAAAATGTACCTCTTTTGAAACATTTTGGACTCGAATGAAGACCATCTACCCCAGTTATGTGGCATATCAGTTACTGTACATTGTTTGTTTTTACTCTACTATGTATTTGTTATTAACTGCTCAGAGTATTTATGAAGGAAGCAGTATAGAAACCAGAATAATAATTCATCCTAGATACTGGTCCGTTGTTAAAAGGCTTTGAAGCTTTATCTAATTCTTCCATTAGTGCTTTTTTTTAAAAAAATAAAATAAAATTTATTTAAGTTTCATATATTTAGAACATTTAAAAAGAAACAAACAAACATATAAACAAATATATATGCATATATACATTTTGCAGCAGGTATTGAGCATTGGTTACATTTTTCTTTTCTTTTTTTCTTTTACCCCATAACATTGATGTGATCTACCTTGTTACAATACCTTCTTTGTTCCTTTAATGTTTTAATTTCACAGAATACTTTATAATTAAATGCACGTCCTTCATAGTTTCATAACTGATTCAGTTGTCAAATGGTGCTTTTTCTTTAACCAACATTCGTACCAACAGTTCCAAACTTTGTAGTATTCACTGTCTTTGTTGTTTTTTAGTAATTTGGTTAGGCTCTCCATCTCTGCACACTCGTGAATTTTTTTAATGACTATCTCCTCTGAAGGGACAATAGAGACTTTCCAGTTTTGAGCATAACTTATTCTGGCTGCTGTTATAATTTGCAAGATTAAATATTGATGTTTTTTTTCTATTTTTGAGTCCATCATACCCAGCAAAAAGGTTTTGGGTTCAAGTTTTACTTCTTGTTTAGTTATATTTAGAATCCAGTTTTTGATATTTTTCCAAAACTTCTGAGCATATGGACATGTCCACCACATATGGAAGTATGTACCCTGGACGCAGTTACACTTCCAAAAGTTTGGGGAGAGGTTCAGGAACATCTTAGCCAGTCTCGCAGGTGGCAAGTGCCAATGATACACCATTTTATAGAGATTCTCTTTGTACGAGGCTGACAAAGTTAGTTTGTAATTTAATTCCCAAATATGTTCCCACTTATCTAATTCAATACTGTGGCCCACATTTTTTGCCCAAATTATCATATACTCCTTGACTGTCTTCCATTAGTGCTTTTTAAAGTCATTTTTTCCCTGAACGTTTCTGTTCCAAAAGTTTAATCCTATAAATATGCCATCAGCTGGTGTCTTGCATAGACCACTTACCCGCATATCTTAATGTGAACTATTCTGACTGATGAATTTCTCACGTATTTTTTCCATTGTTGTAGATAATAATGAAATATTTTTAATTATGAAAATAAGCTTTCTAATCCAATTGTATTGATCTCTAGATACCTGAGGATATCTAAGGATTTTAAATGTTTTTAAATGTTAAATGTTTTTATTCTTAAATGTTTTTATTTGAAAGAGAAATACAATTCAGCATTAATATAAATTGATTTTTGCATTCTTTGTGCATAAATTAGGGTTAATGTGCATGGGATTGCAATCAAAGGACATCCTTGATCTATTGTAAATATTTGAATAGAGGGAAATGATGTACACATACATACAATATATATAAATCATACATAAAATGTTTATAAAGTTTAAATAATACACCATTTTATATTATTCTAGTATAAAAGTATTACCCAAAGCAATATATTACCCAATAAATGATTTGAAATTATCCGACTAATCTGTTCAGTTCTTCAAAATTATTTTGATGTTAGTCTTTAGAGATTAAGCCCATTTAGATCTCATTTTCAACAGTGAAAATGTATGTCTTTTTTCTGTGAATTATGGATTGCTGAAATGCTTTCTTGCATAAATTTGTGGACATTCGTAAGTGCAATTAGAAGACAAAATTGGACATCCTGAATCATTAGGAAAACCAGACTGAATATAATAATAATTACATGAATGCTATTTCAATTCACATAATTAGCAGCATATCTGTTTAATATTAATTAACAGAGATGCTGTTAATTATGAGGATGACATTTATTACAAAATGAAAAAGTATGTGTAGAGTAAAACGAAGATGGGATGACTTCAATCTCATGTGTTTTATTACTCTTAATTGGAATCCATATGGTTTGTGGCTAATGGGTTTTGAATTTGATAGCTCATTGTTGGTAGGCACTGCTGAGCGGGTTGGTTTCCTACAATGCCTATTTGTTCAGGTCATGGAGGCACCACATCAACTGTGCCTGAAGAATAGGAGTATCATGTCCAAATTGATGCAGGAAAAAAGATTAGATCTAATCAATTATCCAAAGCGGTGAGGAGTCCCCTTCACTGGATATTGCTACTACAATCAAGTGGGGAGTGCCAAAGTTATTTAGGGTTGAACAGCGAGATCACCATTGCCCAGGGGATGGCAAGTTGGGGATTCCTTTTATATCCCCATTAAATTGTCCACTGAAGTGGTACCCATTTATTTACTCACAGTCGCTTGATTTTTGAAGTGTTGGGTTGGCAGCAGCTACAGTGTGTGATGGGAGCTCATCCCGTCTCACAGCAGTAACTGGGTCTTGAACACGAGCCTGTTGATCATCAGCCTAGTGTCCTAACCTAATGAACTACTGCCCTGGATGAATTGGATAGCCATTATTTTGGGACAGATACATCAGCAAGGACAGTCAAGGAGGGGTAAGTAGCATCACACCTCACGACACAATTCTGCCCTTTTTATACACATATCACGATATTGCAGGCACCTGTGAAAGGAGTGGACCTGTGTTGCAATGGTTCAAGGCTGCTTTGGTTATTTTGATGAAAGCACTGGGTTTTGTGGATGCCTCTACAGAATGCTTTAAATGGGACTCCTACATTGAAGGACTTGATGGCATCTTCCTATACTTAAGTGCTTTTATTGATAAGGGATACTGAATTATGCTGCCTTGTTTATAAACAAAGGATATATCATACTGACTAGATGAGATTTATTCTGATTTTTTAAAAGGTAGCCAAACAACAAATAGATCCTGGATAATGTAATGGAAAGTACTCAGTATAGTTTCGTGTCCTGGTGCTTACTTTTATTGTTAACACTGATCACATTGATTGAATTTGCGAGTCTCAAAAAGCTTGGTCTGTGGTTTCACAGTTACAGATGCAATCAACTATTAACTTGGTTTGTTATGCAGAGTATAGAACAGGGGTCCCCAAACTTGTACTTTAAGACTTGTGGACTTTTAACTCCCAGAAGGCTGGAGAATTCTTGGAGTTGAAGTCCAAAAGTCTTAAAGTTGGAGACCTCTGGTATAGAGCAATATAATGCAGTTTCTGGATCTCCTTGTCACCATCTAGTGGTCATCTGGTAATACAGGTGGAATAATTCTTCATTCATAGATTCATGATTGGGGTGCATGTTAAGCAGGATACAAAATCTGTAGCTAATAATATGGTCTGTGTTCCTCCTCTCCCCCCAGTCAGATTTCAGCAAAACCCTTGATATCCATGGCTAAGAGAGATGAGTTCCTCACCTCTTCCAATTAGGTTTCTATGGTGGAGAGATTAATTCTTTCTTAACAAAGTTTAGAAATATATATAGGAACAAATTTAAAGGCCTTTCCCATATTGCTCACATTTCTACATTTCATGACACTTGCAACAGGAGAATTCTGAAGTATATAGAGTTTCAAACACTGTGTTTCAAACAATATTATATGGCAGGGAGTTCTATAACTTGCAAAATTAAAAAACTATCCTAAGTGGCATCATTAGGTCTGCAAACACTTGGGGAATTTGAGGTGTGGAATACAAAATGCACTGTGATTAATTGTCAGTAGGTGTGTTTCTAAGTTAGGCTCTGAATGTAAGACTTTTTGATGAAATGTGTTTGCTCTAAACAGAAAAGTAATAATGGCTTATTTTGAATAGGAAGTTGCCCGTGAACTAGAAGAAAGTAAATATCAGTACACAGAACCTCGGCTGTCTATTTATGGGCGTTCCGCAGATGAATGGCAGAATTTGGCTAAATGGTTCATAAGGCACAAAGTTTATTCACCTCACATGCGCTGGATTATTCAGGTCCCAAGAATCTAGTAAGTAAAATAATAAATAATGCATTATTGGAAACAGTTTCATTTCTCTTTTTTCCAGTTCTTTAACAGAGAGTTGAGGTTTAAAATTTCCTTGCAACAATGAGGAAATGTTACCACAATGTGGTTAAGTAAATAATCTTGCACCATGACTGTTACCACACTATATTGTGTGAGGCCATCTGGAGAGTTCGACAGCTTCAATTAATTTGCCTGTAAGAACCAAATATGTTGCTTTAAAAAGCTGTTGAGGACAATACTTTGGAAACCACAATGATTTGGGAGATAAAAGGACTAAAGAAGGCAAGGCAGTGACATGGCATTTCTAAAATGGGTGGTACCAGGAAGTTTGCATTTTAGAAGAGATGATATGGCTTACTTCCTCCTTCCCTTCCTTTCGGGTATGTTAAACCTGGGAGATTAGCACAAAACTAGCAGCATCTTAGCAGGTTGCTTCCATAATTTGATGACCTCTAATGTACACGGGAAGCAAAGATGCATCTCCAAACTCTCTTCCTTCCTATATTTAAATTGCCCTTGTTATTCAGTTGCTTCCACAAATATTGCAAAAATGACTTATGTAGGAAATTCGGAGAACAAGCAGGTTGTTGCAATTTGGGATTGCCAATATAGCTCTTGCTCAAAGGACAAGTGGCAGCTATGGCTCAGGTGGTCTTTGCACAAATCTACCTTGTGCAGCCCTACTGCCCTATCCATTACTGCCCTACTCATGGTCACTCAAGCCTTGATGACCTATTGTTTGGATGACTGCAATGCACTCCCTTTGGGCCTGTCCTTAAAGATCATAGAGAAGGTTTAGCTGGTCCTGTGTATAGTTATAGGAGTATTTGGGTTTTCCTATGTAATATCACTGTTTCATGAATCGCATGGGTTGCAAGTAGGCTTTAGGGTGCAACCTAAGGTGTTAGTTATTACATACAAAGCCTTTTGTTGCATAGGAATTGGTTGTATATGAAGCTCCCCATCTATAATTACTTTTATGTATCTGATACATCTGTCAGGTTGGGCATCTTCCAGTTCTATTACTTAAGCCATGTCATCTTGAGGAACGCAAGAGATGTGCTTTCTCTGTTGCTACATTTCCCCTATGATTTCCCAATGACATTTGGATCGCCTTACCTTGCATACTGTTTTCCTCCCCCCGGGGCACAGAGATAGGAGGATTTGTGCCTATCTTGATTGTTTTGTTGATTGCTTCTTGTTTCTGATTGTTTTGAAATTGTCTCTGGCCCAATATGTTTTATTTAATGTTTTTATTACTATTTGATGTTTTTAATTTGTATGATGCTCTGAGCTGTACTTTGATTGGACAGCTATATACATTGATCTAATAAATATGGTATATAAATAACCATATGCAATGTCTTGCAGAAATGACCCTAGGATTTTGTTGAAGGTCTCTGTTTGCATAGGAATGGGATTGATATGAAAAGTACACTTTATCAATTTTTCCCATTTAAATTAAAGATTAGTGATGGTTAGCAGTAACATCATAATATGTTATTAAATAATAATATTATTTGAAGGGTAAAGCTAGAATATTCAGAGCATTTTCATGTTACATTATTCAAGTATTATTTTGGTTTTTTGTTGTGTACTTTAAAGTGATTGAACTAAGGTTGCTTAGGGGTTTTTGCAGCCAAAATTCAACTGATTTCTTTGGCGGGGGAGGCAAGCTTGGACAAGAATACCTATTCCTGAAGTAGAGCATATCCCAAGTAAGCACAATAAAAATATTCAAATATTTGTTTCCCCTCCAGTGATATATTTAGGGAAAAAAATATTCTGCCTAACTTTGCGAAAATGCTGGAAAACATATTCTTACCTCTGTTTGAAGCAACCATCAACCCCTTGGATCATAAAGAATTACATCTTTTTCTTAAATTTGTAAGTATTTGACTGTTCTAGACTGCATGTATCTAGTATCACTCTGCAGTCTTCTTTTATGTGTTTTCAGAAACAAGTTCAAACTTCAAAAATAGGCTTAAAATGTTTGGGCAGTAACATGAAATCTTAAAAGCCAGATAGAGGAAAGCGAACTAAGATTTTTAGTGAAAAATGCACCAATCCCTTGCATAGAGCTTTGGAATATATTGTTAAAATAGAATTGTCTTATTCTAATTTACTGAGGGACTGTGCAGTTAATTTAATTCTTCCCATATATTTCAGTTTGGATGGATAGAGTATATTAACTGGCTCTCCTTTTGATGTAAAGGAGAGTTTGGTTGAACAGGAATTAATTCTAAAAAAATTCAAAATCTGGCATAAAAGAAGACATTTTTAAGCTCAAATTAAATCTGCTAGCATCTTAATAAATAAGGAGTTCAGTATCAACAAATGGAAATGTGCTTTTCTAAACGGAGAAATAAAAATATGAATCTATAGTATGGTATGATATTAAATGAATAATTACTGACTAGAGTTAAAATTGATGTCTAGACAGGTGAAAGAAACTTTGTTGGTTTCTTTACAAGTAACAAACTCCCTGCATGATAAATTGGGATTCTCATGTTAATTGAGAAAATTAACTACTTAATATCAAACCAGAATGGGAAATCTAAAAGTGGGGATGAGAAATAATTATAATCTTTTAAGTAATTTTATGATAAAAGAAAATTACAAGATATTGGGGAAATATCTAGACAGAGTAAAATCTGAACAAATTTGTTCTGTAAATATCTGCTAATCCTGCAAAATACAATAGGAATTGCTTTTTAATCAAGGCACTTATTCTGGCTACAGGATTTAAATTTGGAAATATAGAGCTAAAGGCTCAAAATAGTTCATTCTGTATATGGTGGGGTTATAATAATTTTTTATACCTCACTTTAGATATATCTTATACCTACACACTGTTTAATATTATTTGTAATGTAAGTAGTTTAATTATTAGCAGGAAACTTTGGCAGAAAATTCCCCATCTAATTACTCCCAATTCTAAAGGAAGAAAGCTGGGGCAGAAGTTGTCTGGTAGCCTCAGTGACCCTGAAATAGGTTGCTAATATCTTGCTGAGATATCACAGCAAGTTGCAAATTGGACCAGTTAACCCAGATGATGAACCAGTTAGTCCAGTACTTGGCACAAGCAATGCTCCTCTACTCCTTCCAGCTTAAAGTCCCTACAGGTATTGCTGATAAGAAGTGCTAGGATACCAAACACCTGCTTTTTTATTTAACAAGCATGCTCAGATTCCTGGAAGATTTAGTACCATCTTCTCTCAGAAGCAAATTCTACATCTTTCTAAGACCTGGGGGGAAATTACCATTGACTGATCCCAATCAGAATTTATAATTAATTGGTTATTGCTGGGTCTGTAAAATGGGCAATACCTTGTTCTGTTATAGAATTGCCCAGATTTGGAGAATTATAATAATAATCCCCTGCAAGGTGAACAAGTGATATACTATCAAATCCATCAGCTACAATGGAATATATGTGTATAACCACATATACTTGATTTTCAGTTATGGCCTGAAATGAAAGGGACATAACAGATCAGTAACTATCAGGTGAAATATCACACACATGTATTCTGCAAGCAACCCAGAGACTTTCAATGTATTAATCTAATTTGGCTTGAATATCAGTCAAAAGTTTGAAAAATAATGAGAGAGTAAGGTTAGGAAACCGAGATACCACTCTTCTTTCTTATTCTTGCCTCCCTACAAATATTTGTATATATACTGTGCAAATTGAAACTGTGCAGCTGGGAACCAGCAGAGCTCCATTAAATATTGCCAGGACATAGAACAGGGCTGTGAAACACCCGGCTCGTGGGCCGAATGCATCACGTATTGACCACACCCACGGCCAAAGGGGGGGGAAAAGTCGTGATACATCGCGTGACGACGTGAGTTGGACATCCCTGAGATAGAAGGTCTGGATCTAGTTAATTTAAATATAACTATCCCTCTTTGAAGAAGCAACTAAATCCATCTTGAAAAGGGGGACATTTTATAAGTAAATCTAATCTTTTGAAAAATAAATATGTTACAGCCTCAGGGAGATTGGGATGTCCAGGAATGAAGTATTGCCCAGATTCACCATAATAATTTCTTAAGAAAGGCAACAGCCAGCTCTAGTAAACTTTCAGTGCACCAGCAACATAGCAACATATGTATACTTTTCTCACACAGCTATTGATTCCCTGCTTCAATTGAAAGGATTAATGCCCAGCTCTTATTCTTAGGACTCCTATCTGTGTGTACTACATTAGAGAAGGAATATCGGACAATTTACAAAGACTCCAGCTTATCATATTCACAAAGAAGTGGAGCCTGGAATGTGATTCATACAAGATTCTATGTGAAGTTTGATTTTTGATCTTGCATTACTATTAGGATTTTGGCAATATTTTTATTTATTTCCTCAGTAGATTTTTCAATAGTCTTGGAAATGGAGTGCCTTTAAGACTCAAATATGTGCATTCATTGGAATCATGATAACATAATTTTGATTGCCCCAGCATACAAGTCTCATAGTCCCCTCCATTTGAATCCCACAGCAGAGTTGTGAGTTCTTGTTGTTAGAGCTCAGATTCCCACAAAACACCTTTACCACTTTAGATTATCTGCCTGTTATTCTTCACCACAACACTCCTATTTTGTTTGTTTATTTAGAAGAAGGGATCGTTGTAGTTCATGATTGTTGGTTCTGAATTTTATAACATTTAAGAAAAGCTACCTTCTTCCTATCTTTCCTGTGATGAGAGTTTCAGATTTTAATTTACATAAAAGAACAAATATTTAACTGCTTTGATTCTTGTTACGGAAATGTTGAATACACAACAGTGTCTTTTGGCCTCTAGATGGTGCCAACAATTTTAGTCTGCATTCTAAAATATAGTGCCAGATTATCCAGTGCACTCTTTCTTTTAGCTTATGCTTATATTCATTTGGATATGTGTGTGAACATTCATTTAATTTTCAAGAGATAACCGATCAAAAGTTATTTTGTGTAGTAGTTTTAAGAAAGCATTAGGTTATGTAGTACCAACAACATGGTAAAGGACAATAACAAAAGTAGGATGCCTTCATACATAATTATGGAGATGCAAATTAATCACCTTATGATGGTTACCCCATAATGGCTTGCATCATTATCACCATCATGTATATGTCATCTAACTCCCAGAAATATTTCAAAAAGGATTTGGGACCTTATGATCATCGGCAGTTTAAATTTTAATTTGTAGCAATTAAGTTAGATAATTCAGAAAAGCATACATTATTCATACAAAAATCTGTTTTCATTGAATTCTTAGGTGACAGGGTTTGATAGTGTGGATGATGAATCAAAACACAGTGATCACATGTTCTCTGAAAGGAGCCCCCATCCTGATACTTGGATTAGTGGAAAAAATCCTCCATATAGCTATTATTTATATTATATGTATGCAAACATCATGGTTCTCAACAATCTTAGAAAGTAAGTAGTAATATTTTTATTTCCCTGTTTCTGTAAGTTTGGTAGAAAAGTATAACAAGGAATTTACATCATGGTTTCGTAAGATAAACAAAAATGCATGTAATTTACCTCCCCTCTCCCTTTTTAAATTTATTTTGCCTCCTATCTTAATTATACAAGGAAGACATGCTGGAGTTCTGCACATTTCCAGGTTGACAAATTCTGCTCTGGGCATTAGGATTAGGCATAAATTGTCCTAATGATAAATTCTGTTACAGATGCTAATCATCTTTTGGAGGTACATGAACAAACAAAAAGTTGGATATCTTATAACTCGATGAACAAATCTTTCTTAGCCAAAGATCCTTAGATGTTCTTGGATTACGATTTGTATCACCTGTGAGTTTGATGGGAGAACTGGGGTTAGGTGGAAATGGAGAGATTTTGATTACAGTCTGAGAAACATCAAGGCAGAACATGGTGGGTTTTTTTGTTCCACAAACATCCTTTTGTTAGGTAAGGAGGAGATAACTTTCCAGACTGAAGATCATCAGCAGTATGCGTTCTAATTTTCATTTTAATCTCTTTTGTGATTTCTATATGAAATCACTTTTATAAGCTTTAGCAATGAAGCGGTATCAGCAGAAGCTCAAATTTCTGCATTATTTGTGACAGCGGATACATAGAGTAATTTTCAGCATTACTTCTGCAGCCAGAATGCTTAACGTTGTAATTACCAATCTGTAGAATTGTGTCTGTGACTACACAAGTGACATTTCTCTGCCTTGCCTGGAGCCATTTGTAGTTATCATAGTGAACCTGTAATCTGTACGAAAAAGAGTACAGATTATTATTCATTCTTTCACAGGCATTTGTTTGTTTACAGATCTGTTCACATACCAATTAAGCACAAAATCGGATTGCAAACACAGTGCAGCCTGCCGATTTAGATTGACTTCAGTTGTATGCAACTGGAGAGAAAGGGTGAAATTAAGACATTTAAAATGAGAAAACAAAGCAAACAAGACTTTCAAAGTCTTCTACATACAGCATGTTTAGAGAGGAGCATTTAAGTCTTGGTAAAATATAATATGAAATAAAATAAAACTAAGTTTCAAGAATTGAGACAAAGCTATGGTCACAATATATTTGAAGCAGTTTAATCTGTTGGTGCCACGAAACCTAGCCTACTGGCAGAATTATCCTGCAATGAGTCATTTGAGCTGCAGTCACAAATACCTGTCTAATGAAATAGAGGATTTACCTTTGAACGATTCAGCTAAAACATTTTTAATCTGAAGCCCAGCAGCCACTGAACCCCTTCTACCCCCTTACTTAACATGACAGTTTGTAAGTCAGGCTAGCTTAGGGGCTACCCAGGCTGTGAGGAAGGGGGGCTTACCTCGGAATAATTTAATATACTGTACATATTGCTACCCATCAGTGGCCCATTCACAGATGCATATTTTTTGCACTTCCAACAGCCATTTTAAGATGTATCATTATGATTGGTCTTGGGTTTTCTGAATGGTCGGGTATGATGCTAATTGCATTTTAAATTGTTTATAGGGAGAGAGGCATGAGCACCTTCTTGTTTCGACCTCATTGTGGAGAAGCTGGATCAATAACTCACCTGGTGTCCTCCTTTCTAACTGCAGACAATATTTCCCATGGATTACTCCTAAAAAAGGTATAGTAATGGTTCTACTGCACCAGTCTGTTGTTTATCATTCTGACAAATGACTTCTGCTCCTAGAATTGTCTGGGACTTCTGAAACTGAACTCATACCTTTGGGAGTCATCAGATCACTGAAAAACTCTAATAGAGTTTAATATGGAATGGAATGGAATGGAATGGAATAGAATAGAATAGAATAGAATGGAATGGAATGGAATGGAATGGAATGGAATGGAATGGAATGGAATGGAATGGAATGGAATGGAATAGAATAGAATAGAATAGAATAGAATAGAATAGAATAGAATAGAATAGAATAGAATAGAATAGAATAGAATAGAATAGTTGGAAGGGACCATGGACATCTTCTAGTCAGTCCCCTACCTAGGCAGGAAACCCTACACCACTTCAGACAAATGCTTATCCAACGTCTTTTTAAAAACTTCCAGTGTTGGAGCATCCACAACTTCTGGAGGCAAGTTGTTCCACTGATTAATTGTTCTAACTGTCAGGAAATTTCTTCTTAGTTCTAAATTGCTTCTCTCCTTGATTAGTTTCTACCCATTGTTTCTTGTCCTGCCCTCAGGTGCTTTGGAGAATAGCTTGACTCCCTCTTCTTTGTGGCAGCCCCTGAGATACTGAAACGCTGCTATCATGTCTCCCCTAGTCCTTCTTTTCATTAGACTAGACATTCCCAGTTCCTGCAACTGTTCTTCATAATTTATGATATTTATACAGATAGTCCTCTACTTATAAACATGGTTGGGACCAGACCTTCTATTCCTAAATAATGCAGCCATTAAGTGAGTCACACCCAATTAAGCAAATCATATGGTTCTTAAGCAAATTGTGCAGTCTTTAAGCAAATCTCGCTTTCCCCATGGACTTTTCTGGTCCGAAGCCCCCTGGGAAAGTTGCAAATGGCAATCACTTAACCTGAGTCACTGCAACATCATAAATACATGCTAATTGCCAAGCGCTTGAATTTTGGTCACTTGCCTGGAAACATTACAGTGACTGTAAATATGAAGTCACTTTCTTCACTTGAACATATTTTGAAGGATTGTTAAATGGATGGATATAACTTGAGGATTACCTGTATACACCATGGCTGTGTATGGGATCTATAGTCTCCATCTTAAGGTTTGCTATACACAAAGAAAGATGTTTATTATCTGTATGTCATATTGTTCTGCATTTTAGGATTGTTGCCTTTTAAAAAAGACCTTAAAGTAGGGGCCTCCAACCTTGCAACTTTAAGACTTGTGGACTTCAACTCTCAGAATTCCTCAGCCAGCAAAGCTATACACAAATAAAGCTGGCGGAGGAACTCTGGGAGTTGAAGTCCACAAGTCTTAAAGTTGCTAAGGTTGGAAGCCCCTTCCTTAAAGGAAGCACAAGGCTACTAGATGCGGCTCTTAGGGAAAGCATGCCAGGTCCCCAAGCCTGTATAACTCTCATAGGATCGTCCTGACTAAACTCATGCGGGCTTATTGCTGAGAGAATGTATGTGTCTGATTACTACAAATGGGAAGCTTAAGGACATATTTACTGGTTGACATCAATGGGATTTATAAAAACCTTAACTTTGAGTTGGGTTTGGGTTTGTAAAGCAGTTCTCCACCAGGTGGCAGATTTCAATATAATTCTGACACAAGCTGTTCTAATTGAGAAATATTCTATTTTATTGGACAGCAAACATGAGCTTCCTTAAGGGCTTTTTCCAGACAGTTGTATTTCAAACGATAAACATGTAACTGCAACAGTGTCCTGGCTGCTTGTTGATAAATGGATTGAACAGGAAGATCAAAAGCTGATTTTTGAAGGGGTAGCTTGTACTAAAGGCACAATTCAATCACCACTGACGGCGAAAGACCTTTTATTTCCCACTTCAGCTAATGCAATAATGTGTTTTAACCTCTCAGATCTCTGTTTAATTTTTCATTGTAAAAATGCATTTTTAAAAAACAATACATCAATGCAACGCAAAATAAAGGTGTATAGTTGTGTGTGTATATAATAACTCAACTTGTATAGTGCCAGAGGGCCAGGGTCAGTTCAAGTTTCCCAAGCTGTAAAAATGGTTTTCCATTTCCTCTGGCTGAATGTTTCCTTTCCTGTTATCTCTGCGTGAATGAATAATGATTTTGGGTGTTGTTTTTGTACAGAGTCCAGTTCTCCAGTATCTTTATTATCTTGCACAAATCCCCATTGCCATGTCTCCTCTTAGCAACAACAGCTTATTCCTGGAGTATTCAAAAAACCCACTGCGAGAATTCTTGCACAAGGGACTGCGTGTTTCTCTGTCCACAGATGACCCCATGCAATTCCACTATACCAAGGTAATTTGCATGAAAGCAATTTAAAAGTTTTATTTCCGTCTGAAACCATGTTAATTTAAATGTTTTCTTATTAAATTCAGCAGCAACTCTCCAATCTTACATTTATTTATTCGAAAGCAATAGCTTTCAATTGTCATTTCACTTCATTTAGGAGGGCATAGAATTCTATTCACAGTTTAATCATTTACTGTGTTTGAATCCTAAATGTTGCCTCCTGAAACACTTGTAATGCTCACAAGCCTTTTGTTTCTCAAGCCATTCTCCCTTATCCCATCTGCTGGGTACTGAAGCATGGAGAATGGACTCCAATCTCCTAAGTCCTTTCTTTCACGTCATTTCACCATTAAAAACTAGAATGTTTGAGTTTTGCAGGACTTCTTTCTGTTGTAGACAGTATTCTTTCCCATTTGTTTTCTGCTTCTCTTAAATGTTTCAAGGTTGTTGTCATTAGCATCAGTCCTGTAACTGGACTATGGGGTGTATGTGTGAATGTGTTGTCTGGTTTGAGTATTATAAATCCATGAAAATCTAAGAAGGAAAATGACCAATTTTCATAAAGAAGGGTGCTTGCAGAAATACATTTCACTGTGTAATGGCTGGAGTTTCCACCACTCTCAACAGGCTACCCAGCTCTGAAACTATAAAAGTTGGATCTTGCCAAGTATGATGAGAGGCATCTGCTGATTGAAGGATGAAAAGATGAAATTTCACCAAATTTTCTCATTTCTCTGAATACTCAGTCCTGCTTCCACTGTTCTGGTGACATCCTAGAGCACAGGTGTCAAACTCTCAGTGTCACGTTGCCGTCACGTGATGTATCGCGATGTCTTCCCCTTCGTGGAGCTGGAGTGGGCGTGGCTTGCACATGACACATCTGACCTGCGGGCTGCCAGTTTGACACCCCTGCCCTAGACAAAGTTTTCAGGGAACATAGAGGACGGCAAGGAAAGAAGAAAATTAAGGAAGAAAATAGAAGAGCTTTCCAAAATTAAGTTTCCTTTTACTAGAAATGGTCCATTTGCTTTCAGGAGGCTATTGTTCATGCAAAATAAATACATAAATATACTTGATAGCAAATCATATATTTTTTGTATATATAATTGAAGGAAGCACTGATGGAGGAATATGCCATAGCAGCCCAAGTATGGAAACTGAGTACTTGTGACCTATGTGAAATTGCAAGAAACAGTGTACTACAAAGTGGCTTGTCACACAAGGTAAATTTACTTTGTTCTTGTAAGCACCAGGCATTTGAAGATGTAGGGAACAAACTAGGTGGTACACTGAGTATATTGTATTTTTATTTATAAAGCCACCAGAGAACCTGATCATCACACATAATAGGAACATTTTAGCTAATTATATTTTTTTCTCTAATGGTGTTTTTCCTCAAAGGACAAATAACCAGGCTGAAGAGATATGGTTTTGATGAATATGTGGAATAGAAGTGATTAAATTCCGATCCCTTGAGCTTTGTTTACAGCATTGATTCACCTTTGCTACTGTAATATTTGAAATAGAAAAGGTGACATGAATCTACAGATGGGGCATTGTGGGAGGGGAGGAAGTCAGAAAGTCCCAAAGAGCACAGTCATGATTGCCATCTTGACTTTTTTCACACTTCCTACAGATGCCGTTGTTTACATATAGGTTTAATTTGTCCTTGATTTCTATCAGATTTGTACAATTTACTGCATTTCAGATCTGTTAGACTACTCAGAATCCCCATCCAGCTTCATCAAAGGCTATCTGGGAATTTTGGGAGTTTCGGTCCAATATATTTGAAGGCATAGTTTGGGGAAGGTAGTGTTTCACTGATCTCTGGTTAATTATCTAGTGTACTGTTGGAGAATAAAATTATAAAACGCCTGTTAAGAGAGCAAAGGATTTCTTATTTCTTAAGGAAGCTGCTACATGAAGTTACAAGCCATCTTTGTATGTGGTAGCAGATAAAAAGACACTCTCTTTCCCTTTCCCCCACCTCCCTCTTTTTCAATAATCCACATCTTTCTTTTCAAAAATGCTGTTATGTGGAGATCATCTTTCACATCCTTCAGTTGAGGAAGCACTACACTTAAGAGACACATTTTAAAATTATTCAGTCTGCTGGATTTCACATGCCTTTAAAAAAAACCAAAGTATTTTTTCAAATAGTATCTTCTTTTCTCTCTGTTTCTCTAGGAAAAACAGAAATGCATAGGTCTAAATTACTGTGCTGAAGGGCCAGAGGGAAACGATATTAGAAAGACAAATGTTGCACAGATTCGAATGGCTTACAGATATGAGACTTTATGCAATGAACTGAGTTTTCTGTCTGATGCGATGAAGACAGAAGAGATTACAGCACTGTCAAAATAGCCACAACCAACAAGTCGGAACAAAAGGGAGAATGTGAGCTTTTGCAGGACAGAAAGTCATCGGATCATCAGAATTCTTAGATTACACCGGTTTCTGCAAATGCTTACCTTTAATAGGACTGCTGTAGATGCCAAGATGCAGGCTTCTAGCTACGTTTATACATTTAGAAGTACATTCTAACTCTAGTCATTATAGATTTGCATCTCAAGATACATAACGTTCTGCTGTGAAAAAAGGGACATAGGACTGTAGCTTTTGGTAGCATACACAGACCAGTTTTCTCACAATTTTTCTCATATTGGATTGCTGGCACTTTAAACATTACCTTCTGTTTAGATTTCAGGTGTCTGACTGTACACAGTACTATAGTGTCTGTTAGTTAACAAAGATCATCCTGGATTTAGAAATTAAAATCTAATATAACCAAAGATCAGCACATCGTTCATAGATGTTCATAGTGGACATACAAATACTTGGATTTTCCAGATGGGCCCTTTAATTGAAGAGTAATTTGATATGGCATCCAGGTATTTTTCAGATACCTGAAAAATGCAAATCAGATATTGATATATCCACCAGGATTTGCTATATGATACAGTGGAGCTTTTTCAACAGATCCATATCAACATGCCACTTTATTCATCATCATGAGTCTTGTTCCACACCTTGGTTTTTTCAGTATAGAAACTTTCTTGTCTATGTATTAGGGGGCAGATTTACTTGCAAATATGTATTCATGCACATTAGAATACCAACATTGGCTAAATTCACTTTGTTTGTTGAATAAGCCACAGTGACTTTGACATACAGTGCTAAGTTTTAAAGCAGGTTTATACTTACATCAGCAAGATTAAATAATGGTAACCAAAACCAAACCAATCATAATTTGTTATAATGTAAGGTGTGAATGAAGCTGATATAACAGAAAGCTGACATATGCATAAACTTAACTTGCATTTTGTAGTTTGTATAAAATGCACTAAAATGAGATGTTTGATCATTTAATATGCCATGTAGTGTAAGGAGGTTTCGTTGCTATTTCATTACTATGATGTAAAAGTGTGAGAATTTAATGATTTATCAACTGCTGTAGGTAGTGTTAAAATTTTTATATGGAGTTTATTTTAAATATGCAAACTTCAAAATGAACTATTAGAGGCAGTTTCGGTTCTGGAAAGCAGTTTTATTTAATTACGGCTGATGGCAGTAGTTACCTGTTAGCCTTTTGAAATACAGCAAAGTAATCTAAAAGGGAAGATCGAAAGTAAAATTTGTCATGAATTCTGAACTAGGAAAAAAAAGGGGGTAACAAATTTATCTTCCTGCACTTATGTGCTTTTTCTAATTTAAGTATTACTATAGTGTGGAAAAAAGTTTTACATGTTTTAATACAAATTGGTTGGGAAGATATTTCATAAGTGCAGTTATTTTCATTTTTTCTATCCAGAAGAATGACTATTCTATCCAGGTTTACTTCACATCTGTTGAAATGTAGCTCTCCCAATACAATAAATGCAATTTGTTCACAGAAGCGGGAGCTCAGGCACCTTTCCACAAAATAATTATAAAGGCAGCTCCTGTATTTGGAACTTAGCGTTCTATTTTGGAATACTGTGGCAGATGAATAGGTACTATCAGCTTTGACCAAAGATGACCATGAGAAATTACATTTTTATCTTTGTTGGCTAATAACAATTTAAGAACTTGACCTCATAGCCAGTTTATCAATGCTTGACTGATAACCTAAATTTCATTTCACTTGAAAAGTGATTTATTTTGATACTAGAAAATCTCCATTATGTAATTAAAGATCATATCTGAAAGTTTTAATTTCCTTCAGTACTTCTGAGTGTTCTTTTTATACTATTACTAGCCGATAACCCACCATTGCCCGGGTATTTATGTACCCCAATCCTGTAAGACAGGAAAATCTTGTAGTCGGGATTCTCACTGTTGTACTGTCCTGCGTCACAATTCTTCTATTCTCCACAAGAGGGAGCCCTGTGAAGCCATTACCATAGCAGAAGCCATTTTAAGACACTCACACACACACACAGAGGGTTGTTAGGCATGTCTTATCCCCACAGTGTTTGTTTTTAGAGGGTAAGTCATCTGTGTACCGTTTGTTGATATTGCTCAAGGCATTCCAGAGTTATGCTGAAACATACATACATAAAAAAAGAAAAAATGATAGAAGATAGAATACTCATTAAATTGGAAATATTTTTAAAATGTATTAATTGCAATCACTGGTTACTTTTTTTCCTTCTCACAAATTAGCTGGAGCTGGTGGAGCAGAGAGAGCACGCTTTTCAAAAAAAGGAAACCTTGGATTCCATATTGTTTTTGTTTTAAAACTTTTTACATTTAAAAAAAAAACAGCTCTAATGAAAAGCAATTTAAAGCACACTATGGCAAAGTATTATGCAACTGTAATGCTTGTACAACAAGAATGGCTAGTCCTAACCACATAGTAATCCTGTGTTTTTAGTATGTTAATTCCTTCAGCTGGCAAATTCTCCAGCATCTGCTCTGGGCATGGACAGTTGCTTTGGAAGCTCTATTTTATCAGTCTTCATTTACCTACACAACTAATTCAAATAAAACACAGATTCTGTGTATGCACATTTATGTAAAGACAGCTAAGAGCAATTTTGAATAACAAGTGGAAAAGACATAGCTGCTTTAATAAGTTGAGATGTTATGCCTAGTAGGAGCTCCTGCATATTTACAAACAGCTTATTTGCAAGTTCTAGTGAGCAGTAAGTTATTTTAACATCACAATGAAATATGGTGTCTACCATTCTAATTGAGATGTATGAGATTAATGAGCCTTAAAGTAAATTCTACTGAATTTACAAGGGTTTAAAATTGCACTATTATTGCAAGTTCTTGAACTATTTTGGTAAGCTTTATTCCATAATTATGGCACCTTCTTCCTTGAATGATCACTGAAGGCCAGATATTTTCTTGAAGGGAATTACCTATTTATTATACTTTTTTGATGGCTTAGACTTTATGGGTGAAAGTTTAGCTGTCAATTTTGTTTATTTGCATTATTTTATATAATTAAAATAACTATTGTAGGTCTAGGTGTGTTCGGGTCTTTTACCGTGTAAGAGTAAGTTAATCTTACACGGGAAAAGACCTGAACATACCTAGACCTACATACTCGTACCCGTGAAAATCTACAAAAACAAAAATAATTATTGTTTCTACATGGAACTTTTGGATGCTAGAATGCTAACATGGCCTGATTAGCATTCAAAGAAATCCTTGCTAGTGTAAGAGGGATTATGGGAATTATGTCCAGCTTAAACAAAAAAATGGTTTGAGTTAAACATGTACAGTATGTAATTTGTTGTCTAAAATATTCAGAGATATGTATAGCATGAAGAAGCTTAATAAATGGAAATATTAAACATGTATAAATATATTCATTGATGTTTGTCCTATTCTATAACCCTAAATGAAGTCCATTTTGACTATTAACTGTCATACCTATTACTGTATTACAAGTATGAAGCTCACTAACAGACAAATTCTATGTAGGGCAAAGATAAAACAACAACAAAATCCAATACAACTGTCAAGAATACAGTGTGAGTAGTATTTTTCTGGTTAGCCATATAGTTAGCTGCTCAATTTTTCATTTCCAATCATCCAGTAATCAATAGTCCCTGCTGCTAGAAAAACTAAGTGGTAAAATGTTGGGGGAACAAGGGAATTCTGTCATAAGCCCCAAAACAGGCCCAATACAACCCCAGAAACGGCACAGATTTCATTTCAAACTCAGAATACCCCCCCTCCCCCACCCCAATACAGTCTCAAAGCATATTTTTTTCAAGCTCAAAACAATACAAGGTCAAAATGATCTGCACATTTCTGGCTAGGAATATATAATTGTAACGTACTTTCTTGAAATTATGTGTAAACACTGAATTTGAACGCTTAAGAGAAGGTATTTCATTTAACATTACACAAAAGACAAACAATTCAAATGTTTATTGCTCAAAACTCATAATACATTAAATTGCTTATAGTTATTAACAGTCTTATATAAAACTACTAAGAAAAGTTCACATCCACACAAAAGAACTAAGGAATGCATCTTCTCTTAATAATTCATCTCTTGAACATGTCTTTTAAACACCTTTTTTAATTATGGCATTCTTTATCAGATTCAATGCTAGAAGAATAATTGTCAACTGGGCTGCAGTTTTACATAATGTAACACATTTATTTCTTATGATAGGCTTCTAGTTTGCCATATGCTTATTGTGGTAGGGTATGTGTCAAAAGGCATGGGTAAACAACTTATAGTAATCTCTTCTTCCATGTCTTTGAATATTATAGCTTCTCCTAGACTAAAAGTCCTTTAGTAAGAGGCATAGCTTCACAACACAATAGAAACAGAAAAGGAAGACAGCAAGTGATCCAGTTAATCTGTAAAATGCCGTGTGTGTGTGTGTGTGTGTGTGTGTGTGTTTTACATATATATTTACTATGGATAATCTATTACACATTGTAACGCTTGTACTAATGTGTATATTTAAAAAGATAGAAACACTACAGTATATAATTTACATTTTCACTTTACACATATTTACAATTGTGAAATTACTGAACCTATAATTTCATGTCCCCTCCGTGGACTGTGTACCCATATTTTAAAGCTTCCATCTTTCAAGATTTGGTGTACAGTTCTTACACTCATGACAGGAAAAAGAAAAGAAAAGCAATGTCAGGATTTAATGATCCACTGCTTACAGTTCAAATATTTATGCTATCAATCAAACCTTATATGAAGGGGGAGGGAAAAGTATGGGTTATTATTTCTACCATGTTAGTATAAAGTATTGGGCACTTTAATCATAGCACTGCAAGTCTAAATATATCTAGGGTGTGGGGAAAATAAAATCCATGATCAATTTTATAACAAGTGAAAAACACATCAAAACAAAAACAAGAAAATATGTTTTACTTTGAATTTTAAAGCCCACTTAAAATCAATTGTCAGAATACTTGCAATAAGTGAATTTCTCTATATCAAAGCTTTCTTAATAAGAGTTGTTCTTTGAACCTTCACTTTAGCACATCATATTAAAAAGAAAAAGTGCTACTTTCTACTCTATTTTACTAATTTAAGCAGAATTTGATAATCTCTCAAAAAACATTTTTACCATATTCTGAAGTGGTAAGGCTCAATACCTGGTTTGTGATTTATAGAAATGTTTTAGCTAATAGTGTAGGTTTGCAATTTAATTAGTTTAACCTATATTCATGTGCAACATTTCAGCAACAGTAGAAAACAATTTTATTATACATATTTACCAGGGAATTCCAAATAAGGCCATAAACCCTTCATGATATTTAACTATTAACCCATCTTTCCTTGTGTGGTGCCCAATCCATTCTATGAATAGTAATTATAATAATAGCAGTTGTGAAAAATATAAAATCCAACATCAGTACCACATCAATTTGGAGATTTGTGCTGGCCCAATCTGCCTATGATTGATCTTTGGGGGTTAGGATCATTTTAAGCTGCCATTTGAAATAAATTTGTAAAAAATCACTCAGTGCCAATTTTGTGGATTGGAAAATGGTGGATTTCTGGCATCTATTAATGTCACCTGGTAAGGTAACAACTTAGGACACATTTGTCATACCTCACACCAATATTCAATTACAACATGCATACTACATTAAAGCAAAGTGATAAAAAGAAAAAGATTCCTTTTTTTGCTTCAGATTGCACCTACAGG